GTGCTATACCTAGCATAAACAATATGCTGTTTTTATCATGAGTCCAAACTCCGCAACTGTGACAGTGGGCATAATAGTATATGTGTGAATGTGCGGCCATGCTTCCGGTAAAAGAAAATTAGTGTCTGTTTGATTCCGTAAACCTCTAAAGGGGTAGCTCTAACAGGTACCTACAGCAATGGCTGCATGCTCATACATATACATTCCGCTGCCCATTGGCTCACAGTGGTTTTACCATATTGAGACAAGACAAGCTCTCCTTGCGTAGCAAGACAAAACAACTACTGTCCGTGTGCAGGGCGCTGCCCTTTGATCCTTAGGGAATAAACTGGTCATACACCTCCTAACAAGGAGCATTTCCTTGTGGGTGTATCGGCACAGGGGGGGGGTAATGGGGGGGGGGGCGGGGTTTATACTTCAGGAGTATTGAGGGGGGGGGGGGGGGTCTTTACTCCAAGACTATTGAGGGGGGGGGGGGACTCGTACTCTTGGGGAGGGGGGGGGTCTCTTTGGGAATGGTTGTTGTAGTATTTTGTCGGGTGAGGAAGAAGGAGCAGGAGAAGGAGTAGTAGTAGTAGTAGTAGTAGTAGTAGTAGTAGTAGTAGTAGTAGTAGTAGTAGTAGTAGTAGTAGTAGAAGTAGTAAGAAGTAGAAGTAGCAGTAGCAGTAGAAGTAGAAGTAGAAGTAGTAAGAAGTAGAAAGTAGAGTAGAAGTCGTAGTAGTCGTGTGGTAGTAGTAGTAGTACCGTAGTAGTAGTAGTAGATTCAGAAGTAGAAGTAGAAGTAGAAGTAGAAGTAGAAGTAGAAGTAGAAGTAGAGGTAGAAGTAGAAGTAGAAGTAGAAGTAGAAGTAGAAGTAGAAGTAGAAGTAGAAGTAGAGGTAGAAGTAGAAGTAGAAGTAGAAGTAGAAGTAGAAGTAGAAGTAGAAGTAGAAGTAGAAGTAGAAGTAGAAGTAGAAGTAGAAGTAGAAGTAGAAGTAGAAGTAGTAGTCGTCGTCGTATTAGTAGTAGTAGTCGTCGTCGTAGTAGTAGTCGTCGTCGTCGTCGTAGTAGTAGTAGTAGTCGTAGTCCTAGTAGTAGTAGTAGTAGTAGTAGTAGTAGTAGTAGTAGTAGTAGTAGTAGTAGTAGTAGAAGTCGAAGTGGAAGTAGAAGAAGAAGAAGTAGAAGTAGTAGTCGTAGTAGTAGTCGTAGTAGTAGTAGTAGCAGTAGTAGTAGTAGTAGTAGTCGTAGTAGTAGTAGTCGTAGTAGTAGTAGTAGTAGTAGCAGTAGTAGTAGTAGTAGTCGTAGTAGTAGTCGTAGTAGTAGTAGTAGTAGTAGTAGTAGTAGTAGTAGTAGTAGTAGTGGTAGTAGTAGTAGTAGTAGTAGTAGTAGTAGTAGTAGTAGTAGTAGTAGTAAAAGTAGTAGTACTACTCCTTGTACTTGCCATGTTGAGTTCTTGGCCGCCTTTGTCTCTTTTTGTTGAGCTGCGAACGAGCTGCGACAGACGCTGCATCCCAGCCTCCATTTTCACATTTGCAGATGAATCACTAGTGGTTAGAGTGGTAGTAGTTTGAGCGAACAACAATCTCCCGCCTTCGTTGTTGTTCCCTCCCTCTTGAGAGAACAACGACCCCGCCTCCGCTTGTTGTTCCCCGCATTCTTGAGAAAACAACACCCCCCCCCCGGGTTGTCGTTCTTACCCTTCCCTTCCCCTTTTGCAAACCTGCCAAATGATTCCTGCTCAGTTGTGTTTTTTTGCTTTTCAACCCCTGAAGTGTTTGCATGTGGCTCTTTCCTTCTTGTGTTGGCGAACGCTTTTTTTCCTGGCGGCTCAAAACAAGGGCGGGGTTGAGCCTAAGACAAGCGGGGGGGTTGGGGGGGGCGCAGCCCCCCCCATTTGCAAGCCTTCCATCGTCATGATCAACTGTACTTGCTTGCTTGCTTTCGCCCCCCTAATGCGTTTGCATGTGGCTCTGTCCTTCTTGTGTTTTGGCGAACACGCTCCTACAACCCTGTTGTTGTCCTTCTTCGAACTTTACCCCCTCCTCCATATTGGACTATAACCCCCCCCTCCATACTGCTGGACTATGAAATCTTCTTCCTCCATACTCATGGAGTATGAACCCGCCCTCCTGGACCATGACCCCCCCCCCTTTAATACTCCTGGAGTATGAAACCCCCCCCCCCCTTGAATGATCCTGCCCCTCCCCCCCAAACTCCTGGAGTATAAACCCCCCCCCCCCCCCCCCCCCAATACTCCTGGAGTATGAACCCCCCCCTCATATTCTTCGAACTTGACCCCCTCCTCCACATTGGACTTTTCCAAGTTGCGGCTACTAGTACTACTACTACTAGTACTACTACTACTCCTACTACTTCTACTACTACTACTACTACTACTACTACTATTACTACTCCTACTACTCCTTGTCCTGCTCCTTCTTCCTCACCCGACAAAATACTACAACAACCATTGCCAAAGAGACCCCTCCTCCCCAAGAGTACGGGTTCCCCCCCTCTCCCTAATAGTTTTGGAATAGACACCCCCCCTTCAATACTCCTGAAGTATGAACCCCCCCCCCTTAATACTCCTGGAGTATGACCCCCCCCCACCTCGAATTATCTGGAGTATGAACCCCCCCCCCCCCCCCCCCCCCAATACTCCTGGGTAGAACCCCCCCCTCATATTCTTCGAACTTGACCCCCTCCTCCACATTGGACTTTTCCAAGTTGACGGCTACTAGTACTACTACTACTAGTACTACTACTACTCCTACTACTTCTACTACTACTACTACTATTACTACTCCTACTACTCCTTGTCCTGCTCCTTCTTCCTCACCCGACAAAATACTACAACAACCATTGCCAAAGAGACCCCTCCTCCCCAAGAGTACGGGTTTCCCCCCCTCTCCTTAATAGTTTTGGAATAGACCCACCCCCCTTCAAATACTCTGAAGTTAGAACCCCCCCCCCTTAAGACTCTGGAGTATGACCCCCCCCCCCCCCGAATTATCCGGAGTATGAAACCCCCCCCCCCCAATACTCCGGAGTATGCAACCCCCCCCCCTCATAATCTTTCCCCCCCCCCTCCCCGCCTCTGGGGGGGGGGGGTCAATACTCCGGAAGAACTAACCCCCCCCACCCCTGTCCTAGCGGCGCGGTCTCTATTTAAGGGTACATGGAGGGTCCTGGTCCTCATGAAAACTCGCAAGGAGGCTGAGAGCCTTGCCTCCTGGTGATTCCAGGCTGCATCGGGTCCCAACAGCATAGACGCCGACCTGTCGCCGTTTTGAAGCGTTTTGAAGTTTTCACATGGAGACGGAGATCCTGCTGAAGCAAGCATCTCCTTAGCCGAAGGGCAGCAGCTTCAGTCGCGAGGCTTGGTGACGAGGTTTGAGCCTGCCGAAGCAGCACGCCCATTGAAAAAGGCCGACTGGCAGTCCGCTTTTGGAATGTGCAGTGCCGGACCGCATTTTTTCACGCAGTGGGTGGGCGGAATGATTACTTGCTTGATGCCCAGTTGGAGTTTGTTGTTGGAAGGGGGCGGGGGCGTATAACGTCCAGTATGTGCACCTACATGGAGCCTTCCGTTTGGAGCTCCCAGTTCTCCATTCGGGCGACTCAGTTTCTGTTTCAAGGACTTGTAGGGTCTTTGGGGACAGCATCAGCAAGACACATGGCAGCGAAGCCAGTAACTAAGGCCGTCCGAGGCAAAGCTTGGAGTTTCCTTCCACTTCGTACCTTGAGCGCGTTGGTCTTGCGCACCCGACCGGTTCGGAGGCCAGTACAAACCTCAAGCCCCGATCCCGCAACTCTAACCCTGCATTTTGAAAGCCGTAAAGCAAAAGCAATAAGTCCTGGAACCCTCAAAGCTCAAGACCCAGTGCCGGGCTTCTGGACAGCTCAGTCGGCTCGAGTGCGGGTGCCGGCCCAAGTTAGAAAATGCTAGCTTTGCTCCAGCATGAAACCCCAAACCCGCAACCCTGCATCTTGGATTTATATTTCTAGAGTGCGGGGTTCAGGTTCTAAGTAGGTTTTCCGGTTTTAAGAGTTGAGCCCAGGTTCGTTCTCGGACCCGTAAAGTCGCAAAAGCCGTCCCAACCGCGTAGAAACCCAGGATATATTCGTTAACCCGCAACCCTAAGGGCTCGCCATGGGCTGCAGCTGTTGCCACTTCAGCCCGCTCCCGTGTTGAAGGACACCTTCTTGTAGTAGTGGGGCTCTTGTTATTGGATTTAGGGTTTACTATAGGGGCCTAAATAGTTGCCTGTAGTATTTTGGGAGTTCCTTATGATGGTTATAGTATAATGGGCCCAAAAACCATATCTTAACTATTAATGCTCCTATAGTATGGTTGTTGGGTGAAAGGGGTTCGGGGTCAAGGTTTTGGCTTTTACCTGAAGCCAAACTGGCACGTAAACCCGAGACCCCGAGGCCGACGCCCTTCCAAACCCAATCTAAACAAAGAACCCCAAGCCCATGGCGCATGACCCCATACCAACCCGAAACCCTCCTTAGCGCCCAAATCTGAACTCGCAACTCCCAAGCGTGGCACAGTGCATGGTCGACAGATTTGCGGCGGAAAGGCCGCGAGAACAGTGCGGGTAATCAGAGCTGCAGTAGCATGATGTAGCATGAATTGGATCCAGAAAGTCTCTGGCGATGGTGATTCTGAATCGGTGTTTGTTGTCGTGTTCAGTGGGAATCAGGAAAGTTTTGTTGTGCCATCTTGAATCGGTCATACCTATATATTCCCCAAGATGCTTGAGCAGCCGAGTTTGCGCGGGGATGGCAGAGAAACATTGAGGAGAATCCGTAGGCAACAAGTCCTAATGACGTCTGACAGAACTCCGCTGCGATGTAGTGTACGATAGTCCTCAGCCTGGGTGTGTTTGGCCTTACAGACTTACCATCAGCTGCATAGAAGAAACGTCTTCAGGAGCAACACTTCGAACTGACACCTCGAGCTACCCGAAGCTACACAGTAGATCCGCCCCCCGAAGGTGACCAGCTGGATCACTCATGATCGGCCGCTGCCCCTCAGGAGGGTGGCTTTTGGATCTCAGGCTTGGGAGTTTTCGGGGACTTCTGGGGCTGGGCCTGGTGACTCCGCACTTTCCGAGAGCGCTCCGTACTTCCAAAGGACCCAGTAATCAGGTAGTCGGTTTTAGGATAGTAATTAGTTATGTAGGTTAGGTTCGTTTATCGCTTCGTTTGACTGACATGATTGATCATTGTGTGTGAGGAGTCGTTCTTGTCCTGTCCTTGGCCAGCGGTTTAGCTGACCCATGCCGAAACAATGCCTTCCCAATGATTTCGACTTGCCTTGGCATCGCGCTGTCTGAATGCATCTTGTCTAAAGATGAACTCTACCGGGGAAGGTGTTTATAATCGCCGTTTCCACCTTCTGTCAACTTGTCGGTGATGCCCTTCGTAATAAGAGTTCTGGGATTTGGGTTGTCGGGCTCGTAGTGTTTTGGGTTTTCAGGAGCATGTAATCGTAGTGGCCGTAACATGAAGAGACTATCCGGTAGTGGTTCTGCATTTGATCTCCTTTCTCGGGGTGTACTCAATGAGGAGGGACGTTTCTCTTCTTCAGACACTCTCATGGGGGTTTCCAAGACTTGTGAAAGCTACCCTGAATTTTGGAGAGACCGCGAGTTGTGCCGAGCTTAAGGCACTACAACAACAACCACGGCTTCTAGCACGGAAACTTCGACATCCTTGACGGGTTCCACACACACCAGCACTACGATCACCGTCACGACCACTTGCTTCTATGACTGCGGCGAGGACTTGGACAATTGGGAGCGTGCATGGTCTGAGAAGAAGAAGGCGTGGTGTTGCGAGCGTGAGCGGCTAGGCTGTCCTTCAACATCAACGACATCCTCGACAGTCGTCAGCAGCACTTCTAGTACGTCGGCTTCCGGTACAAGTACAAGCACTTCCAGTGGGACAACATGGCTTGATTGCCAAGCCGGGCTGAGCAACTGGCAAGCGGGCTGGTCTTCTTTCAAGCAGCAATGGTGCTGTGAGACTCAGCTCGTGGCTTGCCCCCCAGAAACACAAACCAGCAGCACAGCAACGAGCGCAACGAGTACATCCCTGACCACATCCTCCACATCCAGCACAGCTTCAACGTCGATGTCTACAAGCAGCACCCGTACCGATACCAAATCCAGCACAACCACACCTACCACCACCATCTCAAGTTCGCACACAACCAGTACCACGAGTACCACCACATCCTCCAGGTCCAGCACTACTTCAACCTCGCAGTCTACAAGCAGCACCCAGACGGGTACTACATCCAGCACGGCGACTGCCACAGCCACCACATCAAGTTCCAGCACAAGCATCACCACCAGTACCACTACAACGACCACGGTGTATTTCAACTGTAGTATCGATTTCTATAATTGGGAATTACTTTGGTCTGTGAGGAAGATGGAGTGGTGTTGCGAGCGAGAGCAGCGGGGCTGCCCTTCCACGACTTCGACGACAGGTACAACTGAGACAACATCCAGCTCTACGAAAACAACCAAAACCACGTCTAGCTCCACTACTGGAACCAGCTCCACCACATCGAGCATTATGACGACAACAGTGACCACCACATGTTGGTTCGACTGCACCGCAGAATACGACAACTGGCAACAGGCGTGGTCGGACGAGAAGCAGGCGTGGTGCTGTCGAGAGCAGCAGCGCGGCTGCCCCGCTACGACTAGTACTACTGGTACCAGCTCATCCGTCTCCGCCACGACCACGTCCACCATCACCCTCTCCACCACGACCATCTCCGCAACGACCAGCTCCACGTCCTCATCCGCCACCAGCACTGCTACAACTTCCACCACACGTGGTTTCAATTGCAGTGCCGGGCTAGACAACTGGCAGACGGGCTGGTCGGATGCGAAGAAAGCGTTTTGCTGCCACGCTGAGCAGCTGGGGTGTCCGCCCAGTACGACAACCGTGTCTACACTGACAAGCAGCACGGAGACAATCACAATCTCCTCTTCCAGCACCGTGTCAGCCACAACTCTCACGTCCACAAGAAGCACTTTCACAAGCAACACTGCCACAAGTAGCACCGACACGCTGCACACAACCGTGACTTCGATCACCATCACGACCACTTGCTTCTATGACTGCGGCGAGGACTTGGACAATTGGGAGCGTGCATGGTCTGAGAAGAAGAAGGCGTGGTGTTGCGAGCGTGAGCGGCTAGGCTGTCCTTCAACATCAACGACATCCTCGACAGTCGTCAGCAGCACTTCTAGTACGTCGGCTTCCGGTACAAGTACAAGCACTTCCAGTGGGACAACATGGCTTGATTGCCAAGCCGGGCTGAGCAACTGGCAAGCGGGCTGGTCTTCTTTCAAGCAGCAATGGTGCTGTGAGACTCAGCTCGTGGCTTGCCCCCCAGAAACACAAACCAGCAGCACAGCAACGAGCGCAACGAGTACATCCCTGACCACATCCTCCACATCCAGCACAGCTTCAACGTCGATGTCTACAAGCAGCACCCGTACCGATACCACATCCAGCACAACCACACCTACCACCACCATCTCAAGTTCGCACACAACCAGTACCACGAGTACCACCACATCCTCCAGGTCCAGCACTACTTCAACCTCGCAGTCTACAAGCAGCACCCAGACGGGTACTACATCCAGCACGGCGACTGCCACAGCCACCACATCAAGTTCCAGCACAAACACCACCACCAGTACCACTACAACGGCCACGGTGTATTTCAACTGTAGTATCGATTTCTATAATTGGGAATTACTTTGGTCTGTGAGGAAGATGGAGTGGTGTTGCGAGCGAGAGCAGCGGGGCTGCCCTTCCACGACTTCGACGACAGGTACAACAAGAACTGAGACAACATCCAGCTCTACGAAAACAACCAAAACCACGTCTAGCTCCACTACTGGAACCAGCTCCACCACATCGAGCATCATGACGACAACAGTGACCACCACATGTTGGTTCGACTGCACCGCAGAATACGACAACTGGCAACAGGCGTGGTCGGACAAGAAGCAGGCGTGGTGCTGTCGAGAGCAGCAGCGCGGCTGCCCCGCTACGACTAGTACTACTGGTACCAGCTCATCCGTCTCCGCCACGACCACGTCCACCATCACCCTCTCCACCACGACCATCTCCGCAACGACCAGCTCCACGTCCTCATCCGCCACCAGCACTGCTACAACTTCCACCACACGTGGTTTCAATTGCAGTGCCGGGCTAGACAACTGGCAGACGGGCTGGTCGGATGCGAAGAAAGCGTTTTGCTGCCACGCTGAGCAGCTGGGGTGTCCGCCCAGTACGACAACCGTGTCTACACTGACAAGCACATCTATCACTTCCTCCAGCACATCATCCAGCACGTCGTCGTCAACACAGCTGCCAATTTCGTGTCGCTGGGCATGATACTCGAAGACATCCGAAGATTGGAAATACCAAGAGATCTTCGGTTAGATGCCAGCGTTACAGTGGAATCTGCGTAGTTCGGCCGTCATCGTGAATGTAGCATATAGGAAGTGAAGTGAGCCAGGAAGTTGTGACAACCACCCCAGGCCAAGCAGTTTTCGCGAGCCTGCCCACCAATGTGGCTGGGCTTGCAGCAGTATGCACACCCCATTCAGGAGAGATTCCTTCAGGATTCTTCCGTCAGCAGTTCGGGTTCGGCAGTAGCTTTGAACACCGAAGTTTCTTTTAATTCTTCGTCGCTGCCTCCGGTAGTACACGCAGCAACCTGCCAGCACGACCACTGCTTAATCGGACTAGGCATGCCTGTCGGATATGCAGATTCAGATATTTACTTAGAGACACAGCTGCGCTGCAGATACACTTGCAGCTGCCAGCTACTAGCAGTCATCCAACCTCGCAGTTGCAGCTGTCTGTACCCCAAGGTTGCAAGGTTTGAAGGGAGCACGGACATGTGATTGCCGACATCGAACGAGTTCTTTGCCTCAAGTATCAGGTTTCTGTTTCAATCGGCAGGCCTGCGACAGAGCGGCCACCGACGGATGTATGGCCGACGGGTCAATTCAGGCCGCACTGGAAGGGCGCAGCACCTGTGACGCTGGATGCATTGAACGGTTTTAGGGTTGGGGGCTCTCCTGGCGATCTGTTGCATTTTGACTGTGTTGCTTAGTCCTCGCTGAGGCACACGAGCATGTACAGCTGTTGACCCCACCTTCAGAGAGGATCCCACACGGGATTGTGTAGAGCTTCTGGAGAGGGTCTGCCTTACACGCAGCCCAAGACAAAGGATACTTTGTCCGACGATGGTTTAAGTTGCCCTGGCACGGCTGGAGTCGTTAGCGAGACTGCTACCAAGCTGCAGTGAGTCGTCGCATACATTGCAGCTAGCCACAGATAAATTGGAAGCATTCAGCTTTACTGTAGTGTGCGAGGCCGGAAGCAGGCGACCTCTCCACTGGTTTTGAGGGCTTCCTTGCCATTCTTGCCGCAGTTTGAGACTTCACTTGTTCGAGGAGCTGCGCAATCCAAGGCGTCAGCACAGGGTCCTTTTGCTTCACAGGTCAAGTTGGTGGTTATGTGGGCTTTCTGGAGCTCAATGTCGCTCTTTTGAGCGTAAGAGTGAGCTGCCTGTTCCTGTTGTGTTCACCCGGCCCACCGCCTTCGCGTTTCACGTGTGGTATCGCTGGAGGAGTTAGGGCTGCTTTTTCGATTTGAACAGAAGTTCGTGAGTGAAACCGATTCGTTGTTGCACCCCAGCTATTGAGCAACGAAGCATCATGTCGGAACTGCTTCGTTGATTGGCTTCTGGAAGCTGAGGTTGCTTGTCGTGCTTGTGCGACCCTGCTGCTGCAAGACTGGGGCGAACTAGGGCAACAACTTACCGGCTGCCTGTCCTAGATGAAGGTTATTGGTGCCGGGCTCGATTTTCGACTTCTGTTCAGCACCTGGGCAGTTTTGGTGGTGCTTATCTCATCACTGCATCGTTGTTTGTGCGAGGCCATCATTGCCTGTAAGCGAGACTGCAGCGATTCTCATGTTCCGGGAGACACTGGGCATGGAGGTGTTGTGCTGAATCTGCAGCATTGCATCAGGCGAAATTCGTTGGAGTTCATCGGCGACATGTCAGCCGAATACATCGGCAATCGATGGCTACAACGCCACTGGGAGGCATGCTTTTTCAGTGTTAGTCGGTCTGGATGGGCTCAAGTTAAGGTCTGGCTCATCGATGAGTGCGGTACGCAACTGCAGCTGATCGGAACCGTTGCCAAGAAGCAGGCACGGCTTACGGCTTTCAATGGCACGGGGCGCTTGCCCTGCATGCGCAGCTGCGGCAAGCTGATGTCTGGTGCAGGTGCAGGAATGGCTGCCAGAAAATCCGGATTGCACCTCGCAACTGAAGAGTGACAAAGGCAGCAGCAGTGACCTGCTGCTGTGGTGTGTCCTGACGTGGTTGCGTGGAAGCGATGTTCGCTGGGGATGTCTTCCCAGTGCCTCGCTAAGGCTGCCATCCATCCTGGAATTCCCTTTACGTGGATGCAGCACACTTGCCGGAAGAGCCTTGTCCGATGTGGGGACCGTGGTTTACCATGGGACTATGACTAGAATGACATCCCTTGGCTTTCTCCTTCTTGTCTGGCAGTTTGTCGAGCTCCCCAGCGCCTTGAGATTTTACTACAGTGTCGACAAGGATGTGAAGCGGAGTGGCAAGGGACAGGGGAGAGATGTAATTTCCACCACTGGTGTAGGAGAAGTTCCTGCCCTAAGCCCTGAACCGAAACCCAGACCCCCGGGAGGATCCAAAAAGTAGATCCTTTAATGGGGGTTCCTATAAAGTACCCTTAGTAGTATAGGGCCCCAAATTGGAGGATCTACTTTCGAGATCCTCCCGGGGGTCTGGGAAAGTGTTTTCATTCAGGCAGTCGCCGGCTTTGTAGTTACGGCGCACCAGGCGCCGCTGGCTGCGTTTCGTCTGTGACAACTGCCGCAGAGTGTGCAGTATATTGTTGCTGTTGCCGGTTTTCGACGTCTTACTTGTAGCTGCGCATGTCAACGCATCCATTGTGGTTTCAATAAGTTCGGCTTGTGAACCTTTCTACATCCATTGACTTTGCTGTCATGTGCCGTTCGAATCAGCTACTGTACCACGCTTTGAGTGTTCGACCGTGGAGGCACGCAGTGCAAACGGGAGGAGCAAGTTTCGTGCGGCTACGAAAATGCCATGTGCCCAACTTGTCGAACGGCCGAAGCGATGATACTGGAATCCGAAGGCACACACCTCACTCATGTTGCATAAACCATGTGGAAGAAGCTACGAGTACAGTACTTCAGCGCATTACTCCCGTGTGTGTCTACGTCCAGATGTAAAGCTCAATCCCCAAAACTGCATAAATACAAGGCAGGACGCTGAATTTCTTATGACATGTTGCGCAGGGTGAATGGGATCTTGATGGTTGTCGTCGATGCTGTGAGCGCATGTGGGAGTGGGGTTGGCACGTGCCCAGGTTTGGGCAGCCGGGCAGTTTGCGTCCTTGTTCCTGGAGCCAAGCTCAGCTGTTCTCCCGTCTACTCCTCGCCCGGTCCTTTATATTATGCATATACAATCTGTTATGCAAAAGCCTGCAGCTCGGGATCTGTAGGGTGATGTTGGAAGTAAGATAATGCCAATTTTTGTTGGCTTCACCCTGCGTCTCTCTTATCGACCCTCCCTCCCTTCAGTCCTTACCTTGTGCCAGTCTAGGCTCTAGGCTCCAGAGTTTCCGGTGCTCTCCGTATCTGCGCTGCGAAACTTGGGAAAAAGGCTCAAGGAATATTGTAATCGGGGAAGGTGGGGTTTTGCAGGTAACTTGCGTACGCGAAGCTTTAATTGTGGGCCTTCATTCTATGATTTGAGCTCGGTGTCAGTGCCAGGGTGGTGCGGACATCGCTGTGCCACTCCTACCCATTTTCCTCAAGGATCTACTCCGAGGTTTGGAAATGGGATTTTTCTGGGGCCGAAGCTGCTCCTGTACTGCTCGTAGTGACCCACTACATGAATTCGGTTCCGTAGCGTTGCATTTCCAAGCAGTTGGATCTCAGGTTTCGCATCCTCTAAGACCTAAACCCTACACCCTTCGGGTTTTGTGCGAAGTTGGAGTCCCAGGCTTTCGAGATTCAGGGTTTTCGTGTTCAGGCCACCCCGCCAGCCACTGATGCGGGTATATCCCACGATGACGGCCCTGTTTCCGACTTCCTTCAGAGGTTTCGGATGCTTTTATCGGACAAAAAACTGAACATTTTATACTTCGGGGGTTGGTCTCCTGTGGGAATGTGTTCGCAGAAGCTGCTGTGACAAAACGCCATGAAACAACGGACGAACAAGAATCTTTCGCATGCATTCGAGAAGCTACTTCATTTTGGCGCGCACCTTCAGCAGAGTTGTGATCAGATCTCAACCCAACACGCAAGTGGCTATCCTTTCCAGAATGCCATAACAGAACTTCCGAACTTTGGCATCACGAAAGGTTCGAATAGAAGCAAGCCTCAACGAGCCCACGGGTCAAGCGATCTCCGTAGCCTGCTCCAGCTTTGCTCTTGTTTTGTTTGCACAACTTCGACAGGCTGAGCAGTTTGCAGGAGTCTTCGTGGCACTGGTCTTTGAATGGCCTTTGTGATCATGCTTCCTGAACGTGTTTGAATTTTGCCGCCACAGTCATTTAAGACCTGTCCCCTAAACCCTAAGCCCTAAATCCACTAATCCAAAGCCCGGAGATCGGAAGGCATACCTACAACAACGACGAGTGCGCCTGTGCCTCCTCTGCAGACACGATGGCGACCCAGTGCTAGTGCTAGTGGTTTTGCTAGTGCTAGTGAGCTAGAGCTAGACCTGGTGCTAGTGCTAGTGAGCTAGGAGTTCTAGTGAACTAGAGCTGAGCTGGAGCTAGTGCGAGTGCTAGTGCTGGTGCTGGTGAGCCAGAGCTCGAGCTAGTGCAATTGCTAGCGCTAGTGCTAGAGAGCTAGAGCAATGCTAGAGCTAGAGATGGAGCTAGAGCCAATGCCAGAGACAGAGCTAGATCTACTGCTAGTGCTAGCGCTAGTGCTAGTGCTCGTGCTAGTGGTGCTAGTGCTAGGGGTGCTAGTGCGATTGGTGCTAGTGCTAGTGCGAGTGTGTAACAGAGTGGCAGCGGAGGGGTAGGGGTAGGGGTAGGGGTAGGGGTAGTGGTAGCGGTAGTGGTAGCGGCAGGGGTAGTCGTAGTCGTAGTCGTAGTCGTAGTAGTAGTAGCAGCAGCAGCAGGAGTAGTAGTAGTAGTAGTAGTAGTAGTAGTAGTAGTAGTAGTAGTAGTAGTAGTAGTCTTAGTCTTAGTAGTAGTAGTAGTAGCAGTAGTAGTAGTAGCAGTAGTAGTAGTAGTAGTAGTAGTAGTAGTAGTAGTAGTAGTAGTAGTAGTAGTAGTAGTAGTAGTATGTAGTAATTAGTAAGTAGCAAGTAGTAAGTAGTAAGTCGAAGTTAGTATGTAGCAGGTCGCAAAAGTAGTCAGTAGTAAGTAGTAGGTTGTAGGTAGCAAAAGTAGTAAGTAGTAAGTAGTGAGTAGTGAGTAGTAAGTAGTAAGTAGTAAGTAGTAAGTAGTATGTAGTATGTAGCAGAATGCTGTTGAAGACTCGAGAGCGGCTGCACATAATCTGACGCCGCCGGCTCTCAAGTGTTAAAGGCCAGGTCCTCGGGCCATGAAACTAGAGGCACTGTTGGCTGCTCTTTGCATGCAAGTTGCCCAAGTCGGCGACCACAAGGAGCCTCATTATCCGACTTTGACGGCGGTCACTTGTGACTGCCAGTGACCCAAGGCTGTTGCTGCAATCGCCGCTCTACCTCAGCTCCTCCAAAGTCAATGGTTAGCACTCTCGCGCCCAGGGGCTCGCTGCTCGGGTTCTCCTCGGCGGGCTTGTGGCTCCACACCATCATCGTCAACCTCGTCTACCCGAGCCTTAGGACGATGTGCTTCAAAGTTCGCGGGAGCCGGCTCGAGGGCAATCACATGGATCGGTACCCATCCCGAGTCTCCTCGATAAAACCCGAGCCTATCTCCTGTACGGATTCCGCGACCAGGGTCGATCACAACCTCTGTGGGGGGGCCGTGTCCATCGATTCCCAGGGTGGGCAGGTGCACCTACATGTAACCCGCCGGGGTGGTTTGAGTGGCTTCACGTCACTACGGATGCTTTTCAAAAGGCTTTGTCCGATGATGTCAGGCGCACCAGGGTCTGCCAAGGCAGAGGAAGCACCCGGGGGAGGTCCGGCGAAGCCCGCCGTAGTTGTCTGCTTCTTCCCCAATCCTCGGGTAAAAGGAAGGAGCCCCCGAAAAACTCATCAAACCCCCAGCCTGGCCGTTCACGATTACCTGAACGGGTTTCCACTCGGTGTCGAAACCGTCCTCTGCCTGAGCTTCTTGTAGGTTCCTCCTGATCAACGACTTGAGCTCTTCCTCATTCGGGGGCACGGCGAACCGGTAACGGACCACCCACTCTCGACCAATAAATATAGTCTTTGCTTTTGGTCTTGACCTTGCTAGGACCGTCTGGTACTCCTCTCAAACCTTCAGCGTAAATGTCGCCATCTGGTGTGCATGTGACCCAAACTCCGTCCTCGACCCTGGGAGGACTGACCGCTGGAGGGCCCCTTGTCTTTGGGGCATCTTGTCCGTCATTTCAACTCTTTTGGTGGAGATCCGAAGCGATGGCTCGGCGAGTGGATGCGAGCAAAGGGCATCCAGGACAATGATAGAATTGCACATGAAATGCGATGTCTAGTGGAATGCTTGTACATTGCTGGCTGCTACGATCAATTGAACCTGTGTTGCCTGGCATCCTTGGAGGTGATCGCAAGACATCTGCAGGGGATGGTCGATGCATACTCGTCGGGGTCTCCCTGAAGCCCGGACTGGCAGACAGCAAGGATCATCACATCCTACAAGGGCCGAGAGGACGCAATAGCACCGCTCCGCCCGGCGCAACAAAGAGGAGATTGACCGCACAGTCCAGAGCCAAGATTCGCGACCAGCGCAAAGGCCTCACCACGAACGAGGAGGCCGCCGCGGCAGTGATCGATGGCTCCCTCCCGAACTCCGGGGCCAAGGCCCTGGCAAAGACGGCCGAAGGCTGACGGCCCCCGATGGTGAGGACTTGCCCGACGGTGTTGACGGTTTCGGCGCCACCGCTATGGGCTCTCTCCAGGGCTAAATCGAGCAAGGGTTCCAGAGATTGCTTTCCTTTGCCGATGCCTCCGATGCCTCAGAAGCTGGAGAGACTTAGCAGAAGGAGTAACCAGAGGTTTGCCCGAAAATTGCATGATAGCCGGAGGGAGCTTGAAGCCGTCGAATCCCTCAATTGGCTGTGGGGTCACCGTGGTGGCTCTAGTTCAGATTTTGCTCCTGATCCACTTCAGCAGGATATCATGGGGAGGATCCGTTTTCTTTCGAGACTTTGTCAGGATAAAGGCTCGCGGATGCACCGTGGCTCGAGGATCTTTTGGGCGAGGAGGCCCGTCGATACTTGCAGTGCCCGGAGCAAAAACCCGGACCATGAGTGTCCGGAGGATTTCAGCCCATATTGGGATCCTTCACTCAGGCGGAGCCCCAAGCTCTACAAGAAATTCATCCAGACGCTCGACCACGCAGGGTACCTGACCTATACTTTGCATCCCAAGGGGTACTGTGGTGTTTTCTTTGTGAAGAAGAGCGACGGGCAGAAGATCAGAATGATCCTCGACTCAAGGGGAACTAACGCTAGATTTTGCCCCCCCGGAAGTGGACCTACTCACATCAGATGGGTTCGCGTGGATCGAGCTCAAGGTTCCTGACCATTCGCCGCCAGGCACCGACGCTTCCAACAAGTACCTAGAACAGCTTCGCGTCAGCGCCGCCCCGAGTGACGCGCGGGATTGCTTTCATCGGCTTCACGACCGCAGCGAGGCCATCGTGTTGGAGTGAGCAGAAATTCAGAATGGGAAGGACCAGGCGGCACGAAGAGTACACCACTATGTGTATGTCGACAACTTGGGGACCCTCAATGTATATAAAGACACAGTCGAGCAAGGTCTTAAAGAGGTTGAGGACATGTTTGAGCAGCGACATCTCGTTCTGCACCCAGGCACCATCAGCACGGGGTCTGCCAAAGCACTTGGGATATCAGATCGCTCGTTGGAGGTGATCATCGGCCAGGCGACTTGCGCTGGGTTGATGTGTCGTCCTATCCTCAGTGTGTTCCACACGGTCTATCGCCACATCAGCCCATCCTACTGGGAGAGTGCAAGACAAGGGCTGGAAGCATTCAAAGGTCTCATGATTTTCTTGCGTGCCGATTGGGCGAGACCGTGGAACCCATATGTGGACGGCCGCGGACTCATCGTTACAGGGGTTTGGGATTGTTTCGAGCTTCTGGCGTCGAGAGGATGTTGCACAAGTTGGCCGTACCCTCGAAAGGAGCCGCTTTCGCAAGCGGCTAGGGACTCGGCCTTGCGAGCTGCCGGGTTCACCAAAGACGAGATCACCAATGCGTGGAAGGTCGGCGACTCGGCGAGTTGGACGCTGAGACCGTCCTGCATCGCCACCGCTTGGAGCTTGAGACCAGTTTCACGGAAGTGCCAGGGCATCTCCTAGAAGCTGACCGTTGGAAACCTTGTCTTTGGGGAAGGTGGGACCACGAAGCGGGCATCCTCGAGTTGCAAGCGAGAGCCGTGGTGAAGGAGGATTGCTTTGAGTACTTTCAGAAGTCATGCCAACAACTTATTTTATGTGATAACATGTCGGTCGTCCTCGCCTTCGATCGCTCCCGTGCTCGGAAACAAGCCCCTGCTCCAGATCCGACGGTTTGCAGCCTACTGTTTGGCAGGAACATCATGTGCACTGTTAGGTAGGTGCCTTCCGAGTTGAACAGGGCTGCCGAGCCAAGCAGACTGCATTCTGACGAAGGGAGTAAAGGGCTGGCTCATGTGGTGCAGCGGAAGCCAAAACCGACGGCTCACCGAACCCTTCAGAGACCCTCGGTGGAAGGCGAATCGAAGAGGAAGACAGCTGTCCTCGTGGGTCGCGACCTCCACGAGTCTTTGCAGAGTTAAGGTGACAGCAGAGTCGTTCAGCGTGACGCCGTTGCCCGTACACGGGAAGCTTGCGATGCAACGAGGAGACAAAAAGAGATCCCGAGACGAGAGCTCCAGCGAATCCACCACTGCAACAGTGAGCGATCAGGTGTAAAAGAAGACCGGCCTCCTTCAGCGTCGTGTAAAGCCACGGGCGAAACGCACGGTGGACTACCGCTTCGAAGAGGCCGGCCTCACCCACTTAGAACAGAGCGCGGTGGCACCTACCATCTCGAAGCAGTGCCAGGCGGAGTTGCGGATGTCTCTGGATTTCGCACGGCGAAGGACACTCGACATCAGCAAGGAGAAGAACATGGACAAACTGCTTACCGACTACTTAAACCGCATGTATTTGGATGGGCACCAAAGCTACCGACGGCCTCATTGGTGCAATTCTTTATGGTTTCCCCAGTTTTGGTCCCTTCCTGTCTGTTGGTTGCACTGAGCAGCTACGCGAGGCCTTCAGAGCTCCTCCGTGCCAAGGTGTGCCCGGCCGATGGGGTGTCCCTGCTTCTGGCCCCGGAGGAGGAAGGCCTGCCAGCCAAAACGGGAGACCTCAATGTGTCGATACTGCTGTTGGGCAGACGGTCTATTCGACTCGCTGAAGCGTTGCCGCCCTACCAGCCCCCTGTGGGACTTCAGTTACAAGGACTACAACGGCATGTTCCAGTCCTTGTCGA